TAAATTTTATAATAACTTATAATTATTTATTATTAAGTAACCAAGAAATATAGTAATTACATTATTGTTAATCGTTTTTAGACGTTTCTTGAATAATTCAATATTTTAATTATTAAAATATACTTGTTACCGAATTTGAGATTTAAAATCACATATCAAAATACATAATTTAGTATTTCTAATATTTTTTCATTGTATAATCATTAAGTATACATGGATATCAAGAGCAAGTTTCCTGAACTATTGATGCCTCTACGTATAAAAATCTAGAGGAATTTTATATTTTTTTAAGATGAATTTTAATTTTATTTATTGAAAAATTAAACTTAATAATGTGTATTCTTGTCATTGTTATATTTACCGGATTTTCCATTTACAAAAATATTTTATAAAAAAAAAATTAATACCTTCTCAGCTTCGCATCAAAGCTAAAAAAAAAACAAAAAAATTAAAAATAACTTGTCTTTCCATAAATTATTCTATTTTAATACGAGCTTATAATTGTTAAAAATATTATTTGACATTGTTTAATTTGTTATTTTACTTTAAACCTTAAAGCTAGAGGAGCAAGTTGACATTCGTTTTTCCTTTTTATAAACGACCACACTGAATATTTTTAATTTTAAAATTATATTATTTACATTATTTTGCTCTCAAAATATGATTTTTTTTTTGTGTGTGTGCAATTGCTCGCTTCCAAAATTATTTTTAGTCTTGATACTTTTATTCAATATGTATAACACAGAAGTAAACATTACATAAACACGTTTTCCATAGTGATTGTAACGTGTTTTTCCAGATAAGTTTTTTGACACCATTTTATCCATACGTTACTTATTCATATTGTTAGCTTTATCAGTAAGACAATTTTCTAAAGTCTTAAGATAGCTGACTTTATTATAATTTTAAGTCTGTTACAATTTCGTGGCACATACTCTACAAAACACAGAGTAAAGAAGTGAGAAGGGGTAAAAATTAAATAAAAATAATAATAACACGAAACCCGGATAATCAGCTACACGATTTGTCACTGAAACATGTACTTCCTACACTTATTCAAGTATGTACATTATAAATTTTAACAATAACATCGACCAGACCCTTATATCATTTTATATTGATCTGTTAAGTTTTTCTTTGTACATAATGGCTTTAATTTTTTTTCTTATTTACAATCAGATTAAAAAGTAGTCTTTTAATTTATTTCTATTGAACTAAATACTTCGTTTAAATATATAATATAAATAAATAAATTAGTTTTGAAATTACGTACTAATAATATGTAAATGGTAACCATTAAAACGGTTATATCATTATATAAATACAAAATTTATTCTTTGAAAAGTCATATCAATCTTAAACGCTTTGAACCGTAGACGTAACTAATATAAAATAAATATTAGGTAGCTATATTCATTTCATCTCCTCATCTTAAAAATATATTTAAAAAATAATATATTTATTACTTTGTTTTATAGGTTCTAAACTATTCTAGTTGCGCCAGTAATTAGAAAAAAAATTTAGGCTAATTTAATTATAAAAGTAAAACGTTAAAAAGTAAAATGAACAATTTTTCAAGTAGTTAGTTTCCCTATTTACGTTTTTAGATATTATTTTATTACTAATGTATAACATTTAAATGTAACAACTAATAACAACCATGTTATCTATTAAAGATTTAATCAATTAACTTAAAATATTTTTTTTATGAATGAATTAGTATTAACTTCAAAAAAAATGCATATTTTTAACGAAAACTTTTTTTAATTTATGTCCAGGTGAATCTTACTAAAGTTTTGTCTATCAGGGCTGTCCTTAAAATTTGCTAGGCCCGAATTATAACTCATTTAACGAGTCCTAAAAAAATGTGATAGTTACTGCACAAAAGCAATTACACTACAGTAAGTCGGTAAACTCTCTCATTTCAAAATGTAAATAAACATTAAATATTGTTACCTATTAGCTTCACTGGTATCACTATATAGAAGACTATTATAGACTACATAGATTTTTATTATCATAGTTTATACTGTACAAGTATTTCGTACATGATTTCATTTAATTAATAATATAATATTATTAAATAAAAATTCAAACTGTATTTGTAATATATATAAATCGTTTTATTTAAAGAAAATTTATAATTTTTTAAGTGCGTGAGCGTGGGACCGAAGCGTAGGCTTCGCTCACCCCCATCTTAGGACAGCCCTGCCGCCTATATTAAGTTGTCCAAAAATGTGAGGTCTTCAATAAAACATTTAAAGGATCACAAATTTGTTCAAGTGTAACATTTTTTTTTTTTAACTTTGTTCATACACGATTATTTTCCAGAAGAACTTTTGTAATAATAACTTACACAAAAATATAAACATAAAAATTATCAAAGAACTTACTACTTTACAATATACTACATTCCACTCAAAACTTAATATAAACACGAACCCCTTAAATTAAAGAATGTACACAGCTTCAATACCTGACAACCCATCAATAAAATCGTAACTAGAATATAGCTTTAACTAAAACTAATTGAGGTATTACTAATAGGTGAATTCTTTTAACGCTATTAATGCTAAGTAATTAAATAAGTAAATTTTATGTACAGTTTGTTTTTCTAATAAAAAATAAATTTTTGTTAATTTAGGAAGTCTTCTAAAGGCACAGATTTCGGACCACTGCTTTCAAAAATTATTTTACTTACTACTATTTCTAATATAATGATTCCCATTTCGATTAAATTTATTTTAAAATCGATTAGTTTCTTTTCTTTGTAATGAGAGTCATGAGTGTTAAAAATATTTGAATTATTTATAGGTAATCGAAAATAATTTATAACGAAACAAATTATTTATCACCTTCACATCCAAGCCAAAAATGTATAGCTCAAACTACTATATATTTCGACATATATGGTTTTCCATTAAAATTTACCTAATGAACTCGATTTATCATAAATACAATTTAGCAGTTGCCCTTATTTCACCAGAAGGTTTACTTCTACGATCCTAATATTATGTTTATCGTGGCTACCACGTAATTTTTAATTACGTAATATTTAATAACTTTCATCATATTATTTAAACAATAAATTTGTTACTTACATAGTTATACAGTTATTTACGTTGCTAGTCTACGAAGGGCTACAAAATGTATTACGTAACGCTGTTGACACGCGAGCGGTTACCGGTAAACTGTCGAGCACACCGCATGCGATTAGGCGGACTACCCCAAGATAACGACTATGGCGAATCGCTTTAGCGGCGTCGCTATTGGATTTTAACTGCGCAGAAAAATCATATGCAAACAAACGACGAAGCACGTGTACTTAGTTTACTTTATATGCTAAAGGATAACATATAGTTCAAGTTTTATATTATCTTAAAAACCTAGACGTTTTAAGGATAATATATATTACTTGTTGGCTAGAGTCTATATGCATTGGTGGAGTTTGTGAGGACTCTTTTGAAAATAAAACTAATAAAAATAACAGAAAAATTATATATATATATATTGTGTAATTAAAATATTTTTTAGGAATAGAGGAAGTTAAATTTAACCTTTATAAACATTTAGATATAACTCCGCATTTACCTTTTAATAATATCCCATTAATTATTATAGAGATGTGTTATTTTCTTTATTTCGATCAAGAAATATATTTTTTTTGATAGTTAATAGGGTTCATCAACGATATGGATATCGTTGTCTTTTTTCATTTTTCGCACGACTTCGATCATTTTTAAGATATCGCCATAATCGAAAAAATATTTTTATAAAAAAAACTGTTTGAATTTTAGTCACTTTGTTATAAAATATTTATCATTTCATATTAGACTAAAAAGAGTTTGTGATAATTTTGTTGACATTTTTCGTATTAAAATATATTATGAAATATAGAATTAAGATAAGACGAAAAATGACATTTTTTAAATTTTTATAACATTGTTATTATTTCTATTTTTAACAAAACACGAATAAAGTAAGGTATAAAGAGTTTAGAGATAAAAATTTCAGAATTAGAAGATATATAGTAACAACTGATTGAAACTCAATTTGAAAAATAAGATGAAATTATTGAAAAATAAATCAAATCCCTATTAAATGAGAGTGATTAAAAATAAAAAATTGATGTAATCATTTAAATATTTAATTTAATTTTTGAATATAATTTTTTTTGATATTGCAGTGATATTAATGATAATATCACTGAAATTCGGAACGATATCCAAAAATATATTGTTGA